GCAACAGTTAAAACTGGACATGGAACAACAGACTGGTTCCAAATAGGAAAAGGAGTACATCAAGGCTGTATATTGTCACCCTGCTTATTTAACTTACATGCCAAGTACATCATGAGAAATGCTGGGCTGGAAGAAGCACAAGCTGGAGTCAAGACTGGCAGGAGAAATATCAATAACCTCAGATATGCAGATGACACCACCCTTATGGCAGAAAGTGAAGAGGAACTAAAAAGCCTCTTGATGAAAGTGAAAGAGGAGAATGAAAAAGTTGGTTTAAAGCTCAACATTCAGAAAACTTAGATCATGGTATCTGGTCCCATCACCTCATGGGAAATAGATGGGGAAACAATGGAAGCAGTGTCAGACTTTATTTTGGGGGGCTCCAAAATCACTGCAGATGATTATTGCAGGCATGAAATTAAAAGATGCTTACTCCTTGGAAGGAAAGTTACGACCAACCTAGATATCATATTAAAAAACAGAGACATTACTTTGCCAACAAAGGTCTGTCTAGTCAAGGCTATGGTTTTTCCAGTGGTCATGTATGGATGTGAGAGTTGGACTGTGAAGTAAGCTGAGTGCCGAAGAATTGATGCTTTTGAACTGTGGTGCTGGAGAAGACTCTTGAGAGTCCCTTGGACTGCAAGGAGATCTAACCAGTCCATCCGAAAGGAGATCAGTCCTGGGTGTTCATTGGAAGAACTGATGCTGATGCTGAAACTCCAATACTTTGGCCACCTCATGTGAGGAGTTGACTCATTAGAAAAGACCCTGATGCTGGGAGGGATTGGGGGCAGGAGGAGAAGGGGACGACAGAGGATGAGATGGCTGGATGGTATCACCGACTCAATGGACATGAATTTGAGTAAACTCCAGGAGTTGGTAATGGACAGGGAGGCCTTGCATGCTACAATTCATGGGGTCTCAAAGAGTCAGACAGGACTGAGCGACTGAACTGAACTGAACCTCCTACAACAGTGTTCCTTAACCTCCCCAGGCCCCAGGATCCAGGTGAGTTCAGTCTGTGCTCCTGTTTAGGGGCCATGCAAATAGGTTAGGGGGCCTGGGGCGGGTCCCAGGTGCTTGAAAGGCTTCAGCCCTGGAGGGCCTACTTTGTGCCTGGCTGCCTCATCACTTCCAGATGTGGCCTGCCCGCCCCCACCAGGCGTGTGTAGGAAATGGTAGGAATGGGCTTCATGGCCGCATGACCTGAAGCAATTTAGGATTCCTTCTCCTCCTGTAAAATCAGGGCTGGGACAGGCTGCCCTTTGTAAGAAGTGTTCTAAGCACTGTGAGCTGTAGTAGGCCTCTGGGGTCTCCAGGGTCAGGATCTCTGGGGGTGGGGCCCAAAGGTCAATATTTGCATTGTTTGCCCAGGGGATTCTTAGGCAAACTGAAAGCTTGAGAACTTCTGCAAGGGCCCTAACTGTGCTTATTTTAACTGGAGTTCTCATACATAAACACTGTGTGTCACATACGTATAATATTTATCCACTGCATATACAGAGTCAGCATCACATAACCCGGCTCGCCTGTAAGTTACTTCCGTCTTGCAAATGTGAGGGGACCTGGTTGGGGGACAATTCAAGATCATACAATGTATTATACATATCCTGAGTTTCTCCCATGCAGACCATTGAGCATATATCTGGTGTAGATGGTGTTACTTCTTTCAGTCAACTCTGATTACAGTAACGAGACAGTATTTGTAGAAAAACTAAGAGCTGTTCCAAAACTGTTTTGTAAGACATTGATCTTGTTCAGTCAACAAGAGTGTCTGACTTTTTTGCAACCCCATGGACTGTAGCCTGCCAGGGTCCTCTGTCCATGGGATTTCTCAGGCAAGGATAAGTGGGTTGCCACCTTCTTCCTTCAATCCCAACCCAGGGATTGAACCTGCATCTCTTGTGTCTCCTGCATTGGCAGGCAGGTTCTTTACCATGGATGGTTGATGGTTTAGTCACCAAGTTGTATCCCACTCTTGCAATCCCACAAACTGTAGTCCGACAGGCTCCCCTGTCCATGAGATTTCCCAGGCAAGAATACTGGAGTGGGTTGACATTTCCTTCTCCAGGGAATCTTCCTGACCCAGGTATTGAACCCAGGTCTCCTGCATTGCAGGCAGATGCTTTACCGACTGAGCCACCTGGGAATTCCTTTGTAAGATGTTCCCAGTGTTCTTTAGTTTTAACTACCAAAGCTGACAGGTCAAGGGTATTTGCTTCATCTCAATTCCTGACTTTTCCATCAACTTGAGAATACTACTGTCACGTCTGTCATTCACTTCGTGCCTCAGTCTCTTTGCTTTCAGATCCATAAGGGCAACATGAAAATATGTAACTTTTCATGGTGGTATTTCTGACATTAATTAGTTCATAATTTTCATTGACACCATCACTTGCATTTAAAAAAAGGCATTAAATGGAGTATGTATGTTTACGTGTATGTCTGTATTGTTAAATCTTTTTTGTATGTGTTTCAAACATTCTTAGACAGTAAAGCATAAATGGGAATGTAGGTAAGTTATTCATGTTCCAGGATTAAGTAAGTAGATTACTTTCTTAGAAAATATGTTTATAGTGCTTGCATTCCTAAGGATGTATACTGCCCAGCACTGAATCACTAGCTGCGCTGTGCTGCGCTGCGCTGCGCTTAGTCACTCAGTTGTGTCCAACTCTTTGCGACCCCATGGACTGTAGCCCATCAGGCTCCGCTGTCCATGGGGATTCTCCAGGCAAGAATACTACTAGAGTAGGTTGCCATGCCCTCCTCCAGCGGATCTCCTCAACCCAGGAATCGAACCCAGGTCTCCTGAATTGCAGGCAGATTCTTTACCATCTAAGCCACCAGGGAAGCCCTAACCACTAGCTTATGCGTGGCTATTTAAACTTAAGTTATTTAAAATAAAATAAAGGGACTGGCCTGGCGGTCCAGCAGTTAAGATGCCACGTTTTCAATGTAGTGGGCTCAGGTTCAAGCCCTGTTCATGGAACTAAGATAAAAATTAAAATTAAAACGTAATTCCTCAGCAGCACATTTCAAGTGTTCACTAGCCACAGATGGCTGGTGAGTAACACACTGAAGCACACAAACATAAGGCATTTGCAGCATTTCCATCCTCTCTGAAAGTTCTACTAGACAGCACTGTTACAGACTCTATACTATATCCAGTCATGTCTAGATGACAGCAAATGCTGGGGAACCATTTGTTGAATGAACAAGAAAATAATTAGCTCTAATTTGTCTTAATAATTCTTAAATATGACAGTCAAAACAGAATCAGCTTTAGCCCAAACCCATGTTTTGACACAACTGGATTAGCTGGAATCATTCCTTGATTCTGTCAACTTCCAGTTTTGTTTTTAAGGAACACTTCACAAATTTTGGATCATACCTCACCCTATTTATCTGAGAATTTAATTCTAGTCAAATCTGTCATATTTGTTTCTCCCAATAAATCACCTAAACATTATTTGACCCAAACTGGGTGGCCCCAGTTGGATAGACAATATATGTATTAAATCTTCCAGGAAATCGATTTTTTTCTTTTTCCCCAGTGAGTTGGGGTCAAATTGTAGACAAATTTATTTCTCAGAGGAAGAAAGAATTCTCTTAAGTTTTCTTAAAAAAAAAAAAAAAAAAAACAAGCATCCCAGGATACCATATATCATCAAGAGGAAAGGGGAAACTTCCAGGGCAAAAACCTCACACCCAAGATGAATTCTGCAAAGAAATGTGAGTTGAAACTGATCAAGCTATTTGTTGGATTACAATAAATACACCTTTGGCATCAGCCCCACAATTTACTGCCTGGCTCCAGAAGATGAGAATACAAAAAGAGCTAGAAATTGTACACAGCTCTCTTTAATCCAGGAGTACAGGTTTTACCCCCAAAAGATGGGTTCCAGGCTGCAGCTCCTCCAAAGTAAACAATCAAATCCTACCCCCCAAGCAATCTTCCTCTTCCCCACCTCCTTTGCAAACAATATCTGAGTTTTCAAATGTTACCCAAGTTCCCTCCAGGATTATCAAAGGACTGTAACCTATTTAACCAAATAAACTGAAGAACATGCCAAAAAATGAAAGATGGGCTCCTGCAGTTCCAAATTTTCTACAGTAGGCCTTTCCCGTTAAAACAGCAACAAAAGTACACTTCTCCTGCAGAATCTTTTATAAATATGGTTTGAATGATCAAAATTACATTGACAGTCTACTGCAACAAGAAACGACTTTTCGATTTGCTCAACACAGAGTACTTTGCAGCTGCGTCCAAGGGAAAAGCAAAACCAGAAAATGAATTTTGAGTTAAATTGTACTGATGTGAAAAAAGTTAGCACTAACGTATTACTTTAACTTTAATAACATTACCTTTATTACTCATTTGACTTGCTCTGATTCAACAGCTAAATGATTTAAGAGGAAAGTTGCTCGTGGAACACTGCTCTCAACAGCATAAAAGGGTCACTGCCAAAGATGGCCCTACAGGACTCCAGGGCACCCCTTACTCTAAACGCGGTCCAGTCTCCTCTCTGTCGCATGCAACTGATCCAACGGATACCCACTGCCAAATCCTAGCGGGCCCATTAATGACTTAGTCCTAGATTAGAACCATCTCCTCAGATTTCGATCCCTTCCCCCCCGCCCAAGTTCATTTTCTTTACATCACGAAACAAAATATTTAAAAGGTGCAGTTGCTTTCCCGCTACATGCGCCCTAAAACTTGGGGGTTGGGTGCCACTCTTAACAAATTAAGAAGGAAGAGCCGTTCGTTTTCAGCTGATTCATTTTCCTCTCTTGCCTTTGGGGGGGAAAGTTGGGCTGCTCCGTTTTTGCTGCTCACCTCTTCGCCTCGTATTTTGTCTCCCATTCCTTCCCCACCCCCTTTCCAGCCCGTTTCGCTCCCGCGCAAAATAGTCCGACCGCTGGAGACCAAGTTCAAAAATGCGGAGGGCACCTGGACCCTCCGCGCTCCAAACAGCGCCCCTCGGGGGCAGGGGCAGGAAGCAGCCGCCTTCGCCTCATCCCAACTTCCCCCCCATTCGGGCCAGAACAATGGCTTTTTGCCCGGAAAACGAAGTTCGGCGGAGGCCGGGCGCGCCCCGCAGACCAAGCGGGACTCGGCCAGTGATCGCCAGGTCAGAAGAAGGGAGGCGCTTCCTTCTTCCCAGCTAGGGACCTGCCCCAGCTCGGTGGACCCCCGCGCACCACCCGTACCCCCGGCCCAGCCAGACGAAGCGCGCGCGGGACCCCCGCCCCGGGCGCGAAGCCGAGCCCGCCGTGAACAATGCGCGCCCCGCCTCCTGGCACCGCCCCCGCGCGCTCATTGGCCCGCTCCGGAACAGGGCGGCCCGCGGGGGCGGGTGGCGGGCTGGGGCGCGCGGGGTGCGGCTGCGGTGCGCGTGCGCGGGGCGGGCCTGCGCGGGGCGGGGGCGGTGCTTTGTGTGCAGCCGGCAGGGCGCGCGGCGGCTGTGGCTGTGCGGGGAGCGGCGGGCGCCGCGGTCGGGGCGGGGCGCGCGGCAGCATGGAGGAGCTGAGCAGCGTGGGCGAGCAGGTCTTCGCCGCCGAGTGCATCTTGAGCAAGCGGCTCCGCAAGGTGCGTGCGGCCCGGCCCGCGCCCGCCCGTGCCCGCCCACCCCGGCTCACGCGCCTCTTCTCTCCCTGCAGGGCAAGCTGGAGTACCTGGTCAAGTGGCGCGGCTGGTCCTCCAAGTGAGTCCCCAACAATGCGGTGCCCGTCTTCCCGCCCGCGCCACCTCGGTCTGTAGTGGGAGGGCGGCGTGGGTTCCTCGCCCGCGCCGTCGGGGGGCGTCCGCGCGCCCGGCGGGAAGTTTGCGGGGGCCTCCGCGGGCTCCTCGGGTTTGGCGGTTAGGGGACGCCCAGCGTGCGCGGGGTGCCCTTTGTTTACAAGCCCGCGGGGCGCGGGGCTGGGCGGCCTCCCCGAAACCCCCTCCGGCCCGCCCCGCTCCGGTCCGGGCTCCCGGGCCGCCTCTCCCCACGCCCGGCCCGCGCCCCTCCGGCGCCGCGCGTTCCTCCCGCGCCCATTTGTTGCATGCGTCCCCGCCCGCCTCAGCAGTCCCCGCGGGACTCCAGCCCCCCTCCTCTAGTCCGTATTTTCCCCGGCTGTAACCTGAGCTTTCTATTCATGGATGTGGGGCTTCTCTTTTTTTTCCCCCTCTTAATGGAAGGGAGGGAACTTGGCATCCCGGAAGGGGCTGTATTTACAGGCGATTCGCGCAGACCCAGTTCCCCATTCTTCCCGGACCCCACTTTTCTTTCTTTGCTTTCCTCTCCGGGTGCCCCGGCCGGTGTTGGCCTGAATGCCAGAAACATTGTTCTTAATCTTTGGGCTGCGTTTCTGTGCCCCTAAGCGTCCCCCTCTCTGCATCATGCAGGAAGGAGCCTTCCCTTCCCTCCCTGGCTCCGGGCCAGGGTTTGAGGTCTTCCCTTTCTACAACTTTCCATTTTATTGGGATTTGTTTTCCTCCTGTGGGAGGCTGTAGAGTCCTCCTGAGGCCGGGTGTTAATTGGGGGTGGAGGCAATGGTTTCCCTCTGAGTTTGAGGACAAGGTGTTGGCTTCAGAACTCAGTGTCCCAGGAGTTCATCCTGTACGTGGGTGAGACCTTGGGGGATTCTCCCCAGTACCCCGGCTCCCTGGCTGCCAGCAGGCATCAGGGAGCAGTGGGGCAACCCCACTTGGGCTGGTTTAGGAAGTGGTTGGTCGCTGCCTAGAACTTTAAGATGTCCTGTTCTTTGCTTTTCCAGACACAACAGCTGGGAGCCAGAGGAAAATATCCTGGACCCGAGGCTGCTCTTGGCCTTCCAGAAGAAGTGAGAAAGATAACCAGCCTGTGGGAGGGGGAAGCCAGTTGGGGGGAACCTGGCCTGTCACACGGTCGTTCAGGGCAGTGCTGGCCCTCCAGAGTTCCTGGGCTTAGGCTGTGGTTTGAAGTCCGAGGTGAGTCGTCTTCTCCCTCCTTCTCCCCGGAGGGCCAGCACTGTGTCCAGATCTTGGGAATCCCCGAGTAAGTGCTTCTATTGGTCTTTGTGACAGACTTGCCAAAATGAACCTTCTTGGACATCCTTTGTGAAAAGTTCTGGCTTCTCTTCTTGGCCTTTGCTGTTGACTAGTTTGCAAACAGCCCTAATAAAAACCAGGATGGCAGGTTTGCCCTAAAAAATGCAGACCTGGCCTCCCAGTCCTCATGCGTGGATTGAGCAAAAGAAGGCTCACCGAGGGAACAGGAACACACAGCAGAAAGTTATGCCTACTATGGTGTATCTGGACCAAGAGCAGCACGTTTATTTTTTTTTCTGTGCTGCAAAACAGCTGGTCCCAAGTGAGCACCATGGGGGCCCCCTCACCAGTCTCAGGCTGAATTTGCTTCTGTAATTCAAGATGTCATATCTATTTTTAGGTAGGAGACTTGGGTTAAGAGAAGCCTCTTTGAGATACTCAGGGGAAAGTGTGGCGAGTGGCTTGTGGTGGCATAAGGTTCCACGGAATTCCAGAGCAGGCTGGTGGGTGTAAGGCGTGGGAATTGCCCTATTGGTTGTTGCTGTTTATAGTCTCTAAATCGTGTCTGACTCTTGCGACCCCATGGACTGTAGTCCATCAGGCTTCTCTGTCAATGGGATTTCCCAGGCAAGAACACTGGAGCAACTTGCCATTTCCTTCTCCAGGGGATCTTCCTGACCCAAGAAGTGAACCCACATCTCCTGCATTAGCAGATGGAGTCTTTACCACTGAGCCACCAGGGAAACCCCTTGCCCTGTTAGTAGAGGCTGATAAATTAAGTGCCCAAAAGCTTTCTCAGATGGGGTCAGTCCAGCCAGCTGTTCTCTGTTGGTTCAACCTATGTCCACCTTTTTTTTTGCTCTAGCAAGATGTTTTGGGCCTTCTCAGATGGGCCATGGCAATGGGGGGAAAAGTAAGAGATTCGGTGTGGGTTGAGAGAGAAGACAATGAGCATATGCTTGCCTCGATACCTTTGAAAAAACTTACCAGCAAGCTTGCTGTCTGCTATTTAATTCATAACTCAGGTGCTGTAGGTCCCAAGGGGTGGGACCTAGTACCTTTTTCTGTTAAGTGTCCTGATTGTCCAGAGAGTGTGTGTCTTTCACTTCACTTTTACTTAAAGCACAACAGGCAAGAACTGAGGTTAGCAGATGTCACAGAGATAGATGCAAGAGTTTAAAAGAACCATGAGGTGCTCTGGTTTACATCACGGGGGAGAGAAAACTGGGAGGTGGGTGCTCTGCCTTGTCCTCTTCACCCCCAGAAATTTTCCCAGGATCTAAGAACTGGTGGTTATTTGCTTGGTGTGGGGATGTGGTCTTTGACTGTCAGGGGAAGTCCAGATTCTGGGCACATGGGCACAGGTTAATATGTCAGCAGAGACCCATGAGTGCTCCTGTCCTTTTAGGAGACCGGCTGGGGCTGCTCTGAGAGATCACCTTACATGCGTCAATGAGATGGTGTTTGCCCATTTTAATTACCAGGAAACTACTTCAGATAGAGCCTCTTCCCCTGGGGTAGCCTGGAATACATGCTTTTGGGGTTGTGGGTGGGGGTGGCTCTTTTGGCCCTCTGACCCCGAGTCATGGAGCGAGTTAACACTGTCCCACCTTGAGCCCCAGCCACCATACAGTCAGATGCCGCCACTACTTCCATCAGAGCAGAGTCTAGGAACAGAAAGAACTTAGGAAAAGGAAACAGGGAAAGAAATACGTGCTTGGGGCACTGGCTCTGGGTAAGACTGTGGGGAAGAGGACCCCTTGGTTACCCCGGTGCTCCCATGACTGAGATTTTATGCAGGAGGTGGAGAGTGGAGGGCAGTGGTCCTCGCCTCCCTGGCCCTGGACTCTCTTGTTGGGATTGAGAAAGTTGGACCACGTGACTATGAAGGCTCCTTCTAGTGGCATTGTAGAATTTCTGCTGGACTGTCTCCCTGCAGATTTGCACAAGGTTGTTTTAAGAGGAGTCAGAGAAAACTGGGAATAATTCCTTCCCCAGCTTTGCTTGAATTTCTTGACTTGTCTTTACTGAAACGTAAATGAAACAAATCTGCACCTCTGACTTGGATGTGTTCATTAACAGGGTATGTTTTTGCAGGGAAACTGGTGATAAGCTACCTGGGGGGATTTGAAACCATAGGGTTCCAGGATAGCCGAAGGAAAAGTATGTGACTCTGATTGCTGATTGTCTTCAGGGAACACGAGAAGGAGGTGCAGAACCGGAAGAGAGGCAAGCGGCCGAGGGGCAGGCCAAGGAAGCACACTGTGATGTCCTCCTGCAGCCGACACTCCAAGCTCAAGGTGGGTGGCTGCTGCCCTGGATTTGGCGGCTTACCCCCCAAGTGCTGGCTTTCTGCCAGCCCAGTGAAAAGTGGTGGCAGGAGGGTTGCGGGCTTGGGGGAAGGAGTCCAGCTGGCATCTCCACACAAGTCTTTCCCTTGCTCAGAAGACCTTGGCTCTGCTTCCCTCTGGACTGCCACTCTGAGGGTCTGCCAGCAGGGGGCAACAGTGAACCTCAATTCTCCACCTCCTGCCCTGTCCCTCTGGGGTGACTGAGCACCACCCCCACCCCAGCTGGTTTCCTACTCCAGTGAGGTCCACTCTGTGCTACTTTCTCACCTCCAGTGACTTACGAGGAACCAAATACAGAACACATGTATACAGTAGGTGCTCATAGGTATGCCAAGTAGGCACAACTAAAAATTGCGCACATACCGGGGCTCCATGGCACAGCTGCAAGAACAGATGTGTCTTTGATTTCTCTCTTGAAGGCACTGCCCTCCAGGCCTGAACGCACACATTGGCTTGAGAAGCGGCAGCAAGGTGGGGAGCCGGCCAGGCAAGGAGGCCCCAGACTCCCTGGGTTTGATTCCATCATCCCCAGTTCGGGGCAGAAGAGCTTTGTGGCTAAGAGCAGGTGTTGACTCTGTCTCCCTAAAACACCCCTTTTGCACAGGGACCTGAGAACCAGGAAGGTGTGTCAAATTAGTGTTTGGGATGACACCCAGATGATGTGGAAGGCAGTGGTTTGTTTTCCTGTGTGCTGGAAGGGTCTGAAGGGTCATCTTTGGAAATGGAGAGACTGAAGCAAGATGTCCTGGTCGCAGAGCCCTTGCACATACTGCCTCAGTCCACCCTGCCCCTCTGAGACATGTGAATCGTGCTGTTATGAATTTCCCTGTGCCAGGTGTCTGCCAAGGGCCGGGAGCTTCTCACAGGCCCCTGGAAGGCCCAGGGCCCAGTGTCGGCCTGCGAGTGTTTCTGTCCGTCACTCGGACTTCTCTTTGTGAGCCACCTGTTTTTCTTTGTTCTGTTTCACTTCTAACTGCATTGATTAGGACATCAGAACCAGACAGTGAGATCGCACCCTCCTGGCCACCTCTCTGGTCTGGAAGCCACAGGAGAGGCTTGGCTCCATGGTGTCCAATGAATGCCCCTGGAGACCAGGCTTTAGAAGTGACAACTCATCCTTTGTTGTTGCAGGAATCTGATGCCCCTTCCAAATCTAAATCCAGCAGCTCTTCCTCTTCCTCCACGTCCTCTTCTTCCTCCTCAGAGGAAGAGGAGGACAGCGACCTAGACGCCAAGAGGGGCCCACGGGGCCGCGAGACTCACCCAGTGCCTCAGAAGAAGGCCCAGATCCTGGTAGCCAAGCCTGAACTGAAGGACCCCATCCGGAAGAAGCGGGGCCGGAAGCCCCTGCCCCCGGAGCAGAAGGCGGCCCGGAGGCCTGTGAGCCTGGCCAAGGTGCTAAAGACGGCCCGGAAGGACCTGGGGGCGCCCGCGGGCAAGCTGCCCCCTCCACTCAGTGCCCCCGTGGCGGGCCTGGCAGCCCTGAAGGCCCATGCCAAGGAGGCTTGCAGTGGCCCCAGTGCCATGGCCACCCCAGAGAACTTGGCCAGCCTGATGAAGGGCATGGCCGGCAGTCCCAGCCGTGGGGGCATCAGCTGGCAGAGCTCCATCGTGCACTACATGAACCGGATGAGCCAGAGCCAGGCCCAGGCTGCCGGCAGACTGGCCCTCAGGGCCCCAGCGACCGGCAAGTGCAGCCTCGGGCTGGACCTCAAGATGAGGACACAGAAGGGGGAGCTGGGGATAAGCCCCCCAGGAAGCAAAGTCCCAAAGGCCCCGAGTGGAGCTGTGGAGCAGAAAACGGGGAGCACAGGAGGACCCCTGCACGTCCATACTGGCAGCAAGGTCCTTCCTGGGTGCCTGGGCCCCCAGCCTGCACCCACCCAGGAGCTAAGCCTCCAGGTCTTGGACTTACAGAGTGTCAAGAATGGCACACCCGCAGGAAGCATGGTCGCCCGCCACGCCCCGGCCACCAAGGGCATTCCTGCCACCAACCCAGCCACTGGGAAGGGTGCCGGGGGCGGCCCCACTGGAGGAAGTGGGACCGGCCTGCCCACTGACGCCAGCAAGGGTGAGAAGCTGGCCTCCAGGGCGGCCGCCGTGCCCACCCCTGCAGGCAAGAGGGACTGTGGGAAGGGCAGCACGGCCTCCGTGCAGGAGGGCCACCCGACGTCAGGAGAAGCGCGGAAGACAGCTGCGCTTTCTGAGATGAGTACCGGTGAGGAGAACAGCAGCTCTGACTCGGACCCTGACTCGGCCTCCCTGCCCCGCGCCGGGCAGAACCTCTCCGTGTCTGTCCAGACCACCCAGGACTGGAAACCCACCCGCAGCCTCATTGAGCACGTCTTCGTCACTGACGTCACCGCCAACCTCATCACCGTCACAGTGAAGGAGTCTCCCACCAGCGTGGGCTTCTTCAACCTGAGACATTACTGACGCCGCCTGGCTGCCCCGGCTCCCCTGCCCGTCTCTGGCCTCTGGCTTTGCTTTGATATGTGGCTCGCATCCCAAATCCTCTCCAGGGGCCGGTGGCCTCCTTCAAGGGCAGGCTTGGGTGGGAACTCCCCTGGACCCGGCCTTCCCTGTGACTTTAGCAGGGGAGGCACCATGATGCCTTGCTGCCTGGCCTTTACCCTTGTTCCTACCTCTGGGCCTTTGCATTGCTCCCCATTTGCCTCAGGAAGTCTCGGTGGCTGCCTGGGGCTCAGTGAAATGTTCCCAAGAGTATCCTGTGTTTCTTAAGCCCAACCACGTTCGCTATTTGAACCACCTTCGTGGTCTGTGATGACAGCGGTAGTCAGCTTGCCTCCCCGTGTCCCCTGGGCACGGGTGTTAAGAGGAGGGGTCTTCTCCAGGTCCAGCTTGGCTGTTCTGGCCAGTGGCTGGAAGAGAGGGTTGCTTAAGGCTGGGGGGAGTTAAGGCCTGAAGGCTGCTGCTCCTGGGAGGACTCTGCTCAGGGTGTGGGAGGAGCGGGGAAGGGGGAATGCTGGTCAGAACCCCCCACTCAGAGCAATGCCTGAGCTGGCAAGGGTGAGGACACTGTTCACCTTGTCTCTGCTCTCACCTCGGAAAGCTGAGGGCTTGTGGCCTTAACGTTAGCCATCAGGCGTGGCAGTTGGGATCAGGAACCCTAGAGAGGTAGGTGTGGGTGCTGTCTCACGCTGATTCGGATTAACAGCTGCGGCCCCCACATGTTGACCCAGAGTCCAACATGGGCAGGGAGGAGACTGGTCTCAGAGCTGTTCAGCTGGAACCTCCCAAGCTTGGGGGACAGGAGAAGGATGTCCTTCCACTGCCCTCTTTCTGCCACCTGGACCAAGGACTGCCTTAGTCCTAATCGTGGCCCTGCCAACTGGGCCATGTGGGCAGCTGCTGGAAGTAGGCTTCCCTTCCCCTCAGCTGGCTTCCCGCACTTCCCAGTTACCTCCCCTGACAATCCCCCCCACCAGCGCATCTCGGGGGGTTCCATGTTCTCTGGATACAGCTGTATCTGTACCATTTGGGAAGTGGGACAAATCTGAGTGGTCCACCTGGCAGAGTGTCTCCAGAAACGCCGGAGCTGCCAGCCCAACTGCCTCCCCAGAGATGGCTGAGTCCGGAAGTGGTCTTGACAATTCCAGCCAACAACAGAGTTGCTGTTACTGACTTGGGGCAGAGAGGTGCATCAGTGAGTGGAGTCATTGGTCTTTGATGCCAAAAAGAGAAGTGGGAATGCAGGGAACTTTATTTCTGCTTCACTTACCAGTTAACAACAGCCAGCAGGTGTAGAGTCTTCTGTTGTTCCCATAACCCTCAGGGCAGGGGACACAGTGGGCTCTAGTGTCTGAGAGTAGGCCTCCCAGGACTCCAGTCCCCCCAGTCCCTCACCCTCCATGCCAAATAGCAAGATACGGCTTTTGTGTAGCCAAATCAATTTCAGCAGTGTGCCTTTGGGGACGGATCCACATCCGAGACCTGGTTGAGGGGTGTCCAGATGCAGTTTCTGACTCGTGTGTGATAGCCATGCTATCTGCAATTGGAGTGGTGCCCACTTGGGCAGACCTGAAGGCTGGGGGTCCCAGACAGCTAGGCTAAAACTGGGAAATGGGCCGTAAAGGGGAAGAGTGCCCCCTCCACTACCCCAGCAGGAGATGGAGAGATGCCAGTGCACTGCCCCGTCTGGAAGGAAGGGTGCCAGCACACTGGGCCCCTGGCACCAGCCTCACTCCTGTCCCCAGATGCCCCTGGGTGTGACTAAAGGGACTCGGGCTGCCTCCCCATCAGAGGAGCTCATAACCTTCAAGTTGTGCTGCCTTAGAGGCTGCAGAGCCAAGCCGGCAGCAGCTCTCCCCTTCACGCCCTCAGGGCACCCCCTTTCTGGGCTGATTACATGGCTCCAGCCGCCAGGTCTTCAGACCCCAACCAGGTGCCTTTCTGTTTACCAGCTACTTCAATCCCAAAGTTTGAATCTGTAAACATCTTACTCCCAGCCACTTTGCCTTCTTGCTGTGTTGCATGTTTTTTCTTGGTGCTTGTGAGCCCAAGTGGTTCATGTCTGTAAGTGTGAGTGTGTGTATACACACGTGCAGGCGTGACAGCCTTCGCTGAAGAGTTGGACAGATGCTCAGAGTTGGTTGTCATGTTTACTGATAAATAAAAGCAGTACTTTTTCATTTGCTGCTGCTGCTGCTGCTGTGTGTGTGTGTGTGTGTGTGTGTGTGGCTAGGCATTGGTCACACATCTAACTGGTTTCTTTATCCTGCAGGGTTTCCTATGCTGAACTGCATCACAGTGTATATTGAGTGTTGTTTTAATCCTATTTTGTCAGTTTGCTTTTGTATTGGATAGGAAGAGTGGCCAGTCTTGTCTTCTATAGGGGATTTGGCATATTTTTATATATATATTTTTCATACCAAAAAGAGTGTTCCTTGTTTGGGGTTACACTCAAAATTCTGACCTGACTAAGAGGGCTCTAGGCCTAGAGGTTTCATTAGGAGACAACTTTGGTGGGGAGACCAGAGTTTTGGACCATTGCCAATCACTGGCTTGATTTGTGTTTTTTAATTTAGAAAAAAAAAAAGCCCAATCATTCATGTATGCCACTTCTAATTACTTTAAACTATGGGTGTTTGTTTGCTTTTTTAAAAGAGAACAAAAGTGGATATGTTATTGCCCTGGGAAACTTAAGATCTTTGTTGAAACAGCACAGCAGCCCAGCCCCCATATTCAGTCGGGACCAACCAGTTAAAAGGAAAAACTTCCCCCAGGAAACTCACAGTGGTTTGGTGGGGGAAGGGTGGGAGGAGAGGAAGGTAGTGCCTAGAGGACCAGATCTTTGCTCACGTGCATCTAAACATTCTGTGGATTTTCTAGTATTTTTTGGAAAACTAACACTAGCCATAGGTTGCTGATCTTTTTAGACGGATGTTAATTTATTTTGTAGGGGAGAGTCATTAGCAGATGGTGTCAGAGGGTTTTTGTCTTAACTTTTTGTTAACTCTTAGTATATCAATAAATTGTTAACTTTTCAGCTTGGTGTGTGTCATGAGTGAAACAGCAGTCTCTTCACTTTACCTTTCTTGAGGCAAAATACTTAACTTGAATCATGGGGTGAAAAAATTAAGGGCTTTGCAAAAGTCTCAGCCACTCTAATGGGGTCAAAAAAATGTTTTTCTAAGCAAAGGGGTGGGTTTGATTATGAGTCTCTACACCAGAATTTCCCAGAGAAGGCAATTGGACACTGAAGGGGACATTTGGCAATGTTGAGACGATTGTGGTTGTCACAACTGGGGCGCAGGGGTGAGTGCTTATTGCTACTGGCATCTAGTAGAGGCCAAGGATGCTGCAGTATGTCACAAGTCAAACTCACTTTAAGGCATCTCCCAGAAACTAATACTTAAAAACAAACCAAAATTTCCACATGTGCATGTGCACACCCCACCCCCAGTATCCAAATGATCCTGTGTTGGAAAGCTACTCAACCCCTTGAATTCACCACATGTGGTAACACTTTAAAAAGACACAGCTATAAAATTCAGGGGAGTAGCCATGAAGCACAAGAAGCTTTGAATCAGTGGTTCTTCTGTGACTCCTAACCCATGGCTCATAATAAAGAGACGATTTGCTTATTATATAACCTTCCTTGGTCCTTTAAGATTTGCATTACCCTCAGCATGAATTTATTCATAAATTTCAGCCTCCAGGGAGAAGGAAGCTCCCTTTGAAGTAAAGAGAAGAAGTTGGGTCTGGATGTTGGCCACCACTGGTTGAAAGGCTAGCTGGGGCGAAGGCCTGAATGTTTTAGTTCAGGAAGAGATTCCCACTACAAAAATGCTTCTTCCCCGGGCTCTGGCCGGCTCCAGAAAAGGCCTGCGAATTTGAAATCGTTCTTGCGGGGAAGGCGACTGGCGTGTTTTCTTTTGTTGTACCTTCGGAGGCTGGCGTTGTTTTCTTTTGGAGAAGGTGGGCAGGGACGACCCTAGCCGTCCTGTCCTCTGGCTTTTGAGGGCAGCAGAAGGGATTGGGGATGTCCAGGAAAAAGCAAGCTTAGAAGAGTAACAACCCGCGCGGCTCCCGCGAGCCCATTTGTACAGAGCGACAGCCAGACGTGTAGGGGGGGCCCTGACCCACACTGGCCTTTGTTAGTTTCTGCGCTGCTGATCTGATCGCGTAATCCACCGCCTTCCCAGAAGAATGGGCTGGGCTGCCAAGGGGCCCGACCCGGCCCGAGGGCCCGGCCCGCGGCCTCCCTGGGGCTCAGCCCCGCGCCACTGGATCCAGCACGAGGGTGCCTGGCGGATCCGGCCGCTGGACACCTCCTTCTTCCCTAACTTTGTGGCTGGAGGGCCTGGCCGAAGGGAGGTCGCGGAGGGGGCGCCCACGGTGGCCCACTCTAGAGTACTTTGGGGATGGAGAGACGAGGCGTTCCCTGCTCCCCTGGCGACCCAGAAAGGCATCGCCTCCGGGAGTGGGTGGGCGCCAGTGAGCGGGGTTGAGGCCATCGCCTCTAGAGGGCGCGCGCGATCCGCGAAGATCGGGCCGCTGGCGCTTTGGACGCGCGAGGAATATTCCCCACCCCCGGTTCCGAGCTGCCAAAGGGAACCGAATTGCACGATCCGCCACACAATTGCTCTGAAACACACACACACACACCCAAAAGTCTCCAAAGTTTCAGGAAGTAAGCCCCGGCCCCAAGCCTCTTTCCTCCTGTCCAGACTCCGAAGGCTGGAGGTAGAGCCCGATCAAGCACTGAGACGCCCCCAACTCGAGCCCCAGTTGGATTCCAGGCACCCTCTGGTCCTGGGGGATTCTGGGGTGAGAAGAGGGGGAAAGAATATGAGCCCCCCTACCCCCAAGTCCTGGGGCAGGCCTGTTCACTATTGAGTCTCCCGCACACAGCCCGGGTCCTCAACTGGAATCTGTACAGTTAAGCATCAAAGAGGGGACCAAAAAAAAAAAAAAAACACCAACCCAATGCTCTCTCTCCAAAGAGCCATAAAAATTCCAGTTCTACCAGTGTGTGTGCTGGGCCAAGCTCCCTGCTGGCTACGGCAGCACTAGATGGCCCTGCCCTTCGGAGGCAGAGGAATGCCTCTGCCCCAGGCAGCATCACAGGCCCAGGCCTCCACACCTGGTGTCTTTCCCAGAGCATCTGCCCACAAAACCCGCCAGAGAAGCACCAGATCAAGGCCAAGGCTGATGGTGGCCAGACAGCCGGGGAAAGGGGGCAGAGTCGGTGCCCTCCCATCTCCCTGTCTCCCAAAGCAGGAGCCCACTCGGCTGCCCAATGCGGGAGACAGTCTCGTGGAGAGACGGGGCAACAGCTTGGCCACCCGCTGCGACCCTCCCCAAGCCACTGCACTCCACTCCCGGCCCTCTGACTCTGCCGGCGGCTCAGCCCCTCACTTCGGAAGGCTGACCCATAGCCCCAAGGCCAGGTACCTGACCGCTCCATCCCTCCCAGGTCCACATACAGGCCGCAGACTAGAGGAAGAAGGCGGGAGAGCTCCGCCAGACGCGGGGTCACCGACTCAATGGGCAAGAGTAGGAGATGCACCAGCCTACTCATGCCCACACCCCTCCCTTCCGGTTCTGCCAAGTGTGCCTAGATTTGCGCTTCTCCTGGTGGCGACGTCTGCTAGATCTCTGGGGGGTGAAACTGCGCTCAGTGCGGTGACCCCTTTGGGGTCCCCAGGGCAGCTCTCCTGTGCAGGCTTCACGACCCCACCCCATTGCTGCAAAGTCTCCGGCCAGGAAAATCTAAGGAACCCCCACCCCACCCTGTGCTCTGCGCTACCCCGAACCATTTCTCTCCCAGCTTTGGGGGTGTTGCCCCCGCCCAGACCAGGGACTGAGAGGCTGGGGGGGGGGCGATTGGCGGGGGCAGGGGGCGCGGGGCTGCGCCTCGGCAGCTCCGGGTTCACTAATCACATCAGCGAGCTCTGCGCCGGCTCGGAGCAGCCAGTTGCCTAGCAATACCCGCGAACTCAATTCCTCAATCAATAGGCGCGAGGCGCTGCAATTCGGGGAGCGCTGGCAAGGCTAGGTGGATCTGGGGGGCGGGTCCCAGGACAGCACTGGTGAGCAGGCGGGGAAGCCTGAGCAGCCCAGCGCCAAGGCGCGGGTTGTCAGGGACCAGGACATCAAGCCTGGGGGTGGGGTGCGCCGGGGGAGTCCCGCCCGGAGAAATGGGAACCCGGAGGTCGCGCCCATCTCCCCGGTATCCCCGAGTTCTGCCCAGACCGCAGAGAAGTGCAGTCTGTAGGTGAGGAAAGCCAGGACCTTCCCCTTTAGATGGCTAAGAGTCACTTACCGCTCCCTCCCAACCCTACTCTTCTGCCCCGCCGGATTGGCATCCCCCCAGCTGGGGAATGGCCTACTGGAAACAGAATCGTCCAGGGCCGATAGGGGCGAGAGAGGCGGGTGGAATGGGTCATGAACGAGGAGGGAAGGGTCCTTTCCTCCCGGGGCGCCTGTTCCCTCTCCTCGAGGGCCGGAAAAAAGGAACAAAACCCGAGACACGTCTCTATTTACAAAGTATGTATTTAAACACGTAAAAAGCGGTATTGGATACAGACATTCACAACCGCAGAAGATACGTGCCAAGCTTCACTCGAGCTGAGGCGGAGATCGATTCGAGATTTGTACAAATCTTAGAATTAAATAAACCCAACACCCGCACATCTCGCGCGGTTGCAGACGCCCAGACCCGCGGCCCCTGCCCTGCCCTGCCCCACCCACCCCCAGGTCAGCGTCGCAAGAGCGAGCAAAGGAGACACGCGGACGGCCACGGACAGACAACAGGACAGATAGGCGGTCAGGCAGAACCAGGCTGGCCGCGGAAGGAAGGTCGGAAGGCAGGAGCAAAGTCAGCCCCAAGGGAGGGAGGTGAGGGTGAAGGCAGGGAGGGAGATGAGGGTGAAGGCAGGAAAGGAGGGAGGGAAGGCAGCAGCCAGGTAAAGACGTGGGTCCTGGAGTGACCGTCCACTCGGTAACAGACATGTCCCTTCAATGAAGTGTCATCTGAAAATAGCGTCGATATTTAAATAGATACACTTGGTCAACGGCGCTTCTTTATACAAAGTCTAAAATACCAGTTTTACAAATGTGAGCAGATAAAAATCCCTATTCCACGGGCTTTTTATAGGCGCAATGATAATAAGAAAGAAAAATCATGTACTCCGTCTTCCTCTTTTTTATCCCCTCACTTTAGAGGCAAGAAAGTCTAGAGGAGAGAGAGGTTGCGAAGAGGGAGTGGGAATACGGGAGTGCGGAAGAGAAACCAGGCAGGGGTCCCCGCCTAGTCCCCCCAGGATCGAGAAGTTTCCCCCTCAGTCCCGGCTCCCCGCCTGTCTTCGCCGGGAGTCTGTGCTTCCTCCCAAAGCGCCGGGCCCCCTCGCCCCTCCCTCCACTAGCAATGGGAAGTTAGATTCCCTCTGGCCCTTTAAGGGTGGGGGAGGGCGAGGAGGCCGCAGGACCAGTCCTCGAAGGGGCCGGGATGTGAGGGGGGCAGATTTGTGCTTTTGAGTCAAAAGAGGGGCGCGCGTCCTGCGTCCTTGGAACACAGCGTGGTCACGAGTCGGCCGGGGCGGGGGCGTCCCGGGACCCGCCGCCGAGCGCAGGCCTCCCCAGCCGCGCCGGCCGTCTCTTCTCCAACTCCCGCTCCTCCTCCCCCTCTGGCGGAGTTTGAATGTCGAGTTCAAATAGAGAACACTCCGCGAATCGAAAAGGCCTATAAATTATAGCTTTTGCTTTTAAGAAAGGGGGGAAAAAAAGAAAAAAGGAAAAGTTCTGATGCGCTTTCTTGGATGGAAACCTCCCCTCGCCCCCTCCTTCCCTCGCCCCGCCAAAGCCGCCGGGGTGCCAGTCCTGCCCAGCTCCGAGCAGGAGCCCAGACCTCCACCGCACTCCCAGCCGAGCTGCGACCAGGGCCTGGGTGCGAAGCCTCCGCTCCCAGCAGCCCCCTACCCCCGTGGGTCCCCCAGGGTGGGCCTGTCCGGCCCGGCGTTCTCTTGAGAGCTGGCGGCCCGCCCTCCACGAGGGAAGGGGACTAGTCCAACTCTTCTTGGGAGGTGGGGGTCACCGTCTCTCCTGGCGAAGCTAGAAGACGCGAATAAGAAAAGTCCACCCCCAAACACTTCTCTCGTAAAACAGCAACTGTCTCGAACTCTGGGCACCGACATGCAATCCTCCCAATTTATCCTGGCATTTCGGGAATGTAAACAGATTCGCTGGATTTCTTTTCTTTCTGTGGAGTAAGGAAAGGAATCGAGGGAACTGGGAGATTTTGTCCACATGACATACCTACGATCCGATCTGCGTGTACAACACACACATCTCCCGTAAAGTGCTTTTCCTGGTGTGGTCCTGGGGGGACTCTGCTGCTCCCCACCCACCCGCAACTTTTTACCTTCAACTTCACACACACAAAAATTACTCCAGTTAATACTTTGCTTTTCCCCCAACAGATTTCTTAATCTTAAAACATACAAAAAAAAAAAAATAGGAAAAGGAAAAAGACTGACCCCACCTCCTCCCTTTCTGATTGGGGAGCCAATCTTTTGTTGGCCTGGTCAACCAATGGGAAGAGAGAAAAAAATCCGGGTCCTGCCTTGGTTCCAGGGGTCTGCCCTGGGGCTGTGGGAAAGAGGAGGGGTGAGGTGGGCTGGCTGAGTCCCTCCAGACACCATCAGAGGCCAAGTGCCCAGGTCTTCATCCTCCCTACTGCCCTGGGTGGCTGTCAACCCCCTCCTGCCCCAACTCAGCCTGTCTTCCCCAACTAAACCACAGAGTCTCTCTCTCTCCTTGTTTAAATAAAACAACTTCAAGAGTTGAAATATATATATTTAGATATTTTTCTTAAATAACATATTTACATCTAATAGAAAATATAACTCTAGAGATAATCTTTCCAACCAAAACTGAGGGGGAGGGATGAAAGGAAATGGGTTGTGTGAAGGTAGGGACCGGACAGGGCCAGCCAGAAGGCCGCCTCCCCACCCAGAAATAAAAAGCATTATGCCAAGTTTGCACTCTCACTCTCTCTCCTGCTCCCTGGTCTTGGGATCACCCACCCAGATATTCATCTTTTCTCTTTAAAAAACCCTTGGTCCGTGTTACTTTCCTTAATGGTGACGGTCAAAAAGTTTGAGGTCACGTCGGTGACCACCACCTTCTCCAAGTTGGTCAGAGAAGGGCTCCAGGATTCTTCCTCTGGGTCCCCCAGGATTCTGGCCACTGGGATTCTGGCGATGAGGGAGGGCCTTCCCCCTTGCGCCCCCATGTCCCGATACAAGCCCCCCACAGAGCCGGGGGTGCCTGAGCCATGCCTGACCCGGGGGCCACCAGGGTCCAGGGTGCCCTGGCCTTTGGCCTCCAGGAAGGCAGCCCTGTGCTTTATGACCCTGGCTGGAAAGGTGTCCACAGCCAGCTTGCCTGTGGCCTCAGTGGGGCTAGGGCTGGCCACACCACACTGGGCCAGGTCCGAGTCCTGCCTTCGAGCCAGCTGGATCACGCTGTGGCCAGCTGGGAACTTTCCTGCCCCGGAAGCAGTATCGTCCAGCTTCCTGCCCTTGAGGTAATCTCCGAGGCCATCACTGGGTTCTCCCAAGGGCCTTTGTGAGGGGTCTAGGAGCTCTTTCCGGGGCTTTGGACCTCGCTTCTTGGAGCTGTCACCTGGCGAGCTGGGTTTGTCATCTGCACGGCTGGTGCCCCGTTCACGCTCCCGCTCTCGTTCCCTCTCCCTCTCTCGCTCCCGGTCGCGCTCGCGGTCCCGAGGGGGCTCCACTCGGCAGGTGCTGCTGGTGCTGCTGCTGCTTCCCGGTGGGGAAAGACCCATGTTCCGAAGGCCCTCACGGGACCGGGAAGTAGAGGCCAGTTCTTGGGGTGAGCGACCCGGGTAAGGGATCCGAATGCCTCTGGCCGAGTCACTTCGGAACTCATATGTTTTGGCCTTTGCCTTGGCCTGGGCCTTCAAGAAAAGAGGGTAATGTCAAGAACCGAACAGGGCCCTTGCCCCGCCCCCACCTCCCCAACGCCTCTTCCAGCCCCAGCCTCCCAGGGTCACCCTCTGATGCCATGGAATTCCCATATGGGTAGGGGTGAAGCGTAGGGGTAGCACTTTGTCTGGAAGCAAAGGGGTAGAAGATTTGTCTGGAAGCAGTCATTTGTACCAAGCACCCTTCTTATATTTGATTATGTCTATTTGAAATGGTTGAGGGGGTCTGATAAAGGAATTCTAATTTGGCTAAGCCCCTCCTCTCAGATACCCTTAGCGGTGAAGTGACTTGGTGACAACCTGTCTAGGGACTCCCTCCTGGATTACAAACAGCACACCCCATTGGTTCATAACCCCTCATGGCCTGCTTCCCACAAACTGATACAGAACACTGCTGCCCACCATTGGACATTGTCACCCTACCTTGAGCAGGAAGGTTTTGGGTTTGGGTCCTCGTTTTTTTGGGCCATACAGCTCCATCTCTCGCTCCCTGCAGAAAGGAAGGAGGGGGAAAGGGGTTGCGTGAGTGAAGAAACCAAGTGCGCCTCCAGTTGAGGCTGGACAGGAGCCACCCTTCGTGTTTCTAAGTGAGAAGCTGAAGCCTGGAAGGGCCTGTACCTTTCCTCAAAGGCTGCGAGCAGGCGAGCATCCAGGATGTTTTCTTCGGGTTCCCATGTACTGTACCTAAAGGAAATCAGGAAGAAGTGGGCGTCAGTCCAGGGAGCAGAGAAAGAACCGCGGGTGTGTATGTGTATGTCTGTAACTTTTCTTGTTGCATTGTATTGTATTTCAATGTAAAGGGAAAAAGAGGAAGAAAGCAAGCTCCGGAATAACAGTCTGGGGTTGAGAATTGCACAGAACCTACTTACTTCTGCGACCAGCCCTTCCATTTCACGAGGTATTCCATGCGTCCCTGAAGATGCAAAAAGGAAATTGTGTGTGCACGGGGAAAAATGCATGACGGGGACACGAGAAATACATGCAAAAAATGCATGCACCGAATGAATGCGCTAAATCCCACCGCGAAAGGCACGCGCCCGCTGCATCACCCCCTGCACGAAACGCTGCACATAGTGCATGCACCGGCATTCATTCCCCCCACCCCGCCCCCCACCCATGCAATCTGTGCATCGCTGCAAGTCTAAGGAAAGCGCTTGGGCTCAGAGCCGCCGCCACGGCCGCGGCCGCTGCTGGGACCTGGGGGAAGGGAAGCTGGGTTGCAGCAGGGGGAGGGAACCCGGGCCGGGAGGGGAGGGCTCGGCCCAAGGCCCGGGGGCACCTACTTTCCGGATGCGCCGCTTCAGGAGGGCTTCGGCCGCGAACACCCGCTCCCCCACCGCTGAAAGCTCCATGTTGACTCGGCGCTTCCCCCCTTGGCCGCTTCCAGGAGCAGAAAAGCAGCAGCCAGCGCACGACAGACCATAATACTCTCCCGCTGACGTCAGTTCTCCTCCCCCTCCCGCGCGCTCGCTCCCTCCCCGCCCCCTCCTTCACGCAGCTCCCTCCTCCCCGCTCGCCCCGCGCTTCCTCCCGCCCCACGTGTTGCTAACGACGTTGCTAAAGCCGAGCGGCCAGAGCCAGCTCTCCCGCGCTCTGATTGGGCGAACTCCGGGCCACGCCCCTCTCGCTTTCTCCCCCGCGTTGCTACGTGACCTGCGTTCCAATCGCCAGGGGGCGGAGTCCGAGGCGCACCGGAGACAGAGAGCAAGGGGGGGGTGGGGCCGCCGCCGGAAGTTGCGTAGCGTGGAGGCGGGCTCGGCCGCTGTCAGTCTGTCGGGCTGGCAGGGGGGCCGTCCACCCTCGGTCCCCGCCGGGGCCCCCTCCCCCGCCGCCAAGATGTCCCCCCGGTGCTCAGCGTCCCCCACAGCTCTCGCTGGGACCCTGGCGGTGGTGTCAGCCAGGCCCCTCCCCTTTGGCGACCCCCAACCCGCCCCACCCCCACCGCCAGGACTCGCGCTGTTCCCTCCCCCCGCCGCCGCCCGCGCCGCACAATGCACAATGCACAGGTGCTGGGGCGCCGCGGGCCGCGCCCGAACCCCTTAATGCAGGCGACGCGCCCCTCGCCAGCTTTCCCACCCGGCCCCCTCCCCCCGGCTTGCACACCCGACCCTCGGTCTCCATGGCAACGGCCTGCCCCCGCTGCCGCCAGCCCCATCCCGCTAACAAATCAATGTGCCTGTGTCTCCTTCTCCGGTCGCGCAACCCTGCCCTCGGCCACCCTCCGGGCCCTGCGAGCCGGGCTGGGCTCGAGCGCTCGCCCCCAGCTTGGAGGCCGAATGCAGACCCAGTGGCGGCCCGCCGTTGCCGCCCGAGTCTTCCCGCACCCCAGGATCCAGTGGGGGAGTTCGCCCGCCTTCTTCCTGTCCCCTCCCCGACCTGTCCCCGACACCCGCAGCCACCTGCCCCTGCCGCCAGCCCGCGTTGCTGTTCCACGCCAGTCCCTGGCCCCAAGTGTCGCTAGCCCCAGCCCAGCCGCTCCTTGCCCCAGGCCGGGGTATGTTGGGGAGGGCATGGACGACCATCAAAGCAGAGTCTGGAGCTTGGCTGGGGTTGGGGAGCGCGACTGGGGGAGTTCCCTGCTTCACCCGTACCCGGGCAGCCCACTGGGCCTGTGCCTCTCTTCCTGTTGGCAGCTTGTCCCAATGCGCGTGGCAGACACTGCGAGAAAACCTGGGGAGCCTCACAGTGTCCACTGAGGTTGACGAAGAGGGGCGAAGCTGGCGGGGTCCAGGAAAGGGGGCGAGGACCGGGTCCCGCGTGCCTGACGTTTCCACACACGCAAACTGCACGCTCCTGCTCAGCTCGCGGTGACCCGTGGCTGGGGTGGCAGCGACAGAGACAGGAGCCCCAGTCTGGGCCCAGCAATCCCCGACCTTTTTCTCTTACCGCCCAAGCTGCAAGTAACAGCACCCACTCCTCGGAACCCACGATTTAGTTAAAACATCGGTGATAAACTTGACTGGAAGCAGTTTCCCTTGGCGAGGGATGTGGTGGAAGAAAGAGAGGGAAAAAAAGAACAAGAGAAAGGAGGAAAGGCGAGCCAAGGAGTCTGACTCGAAAGGGCAGGAAGCCCAGAGCGGAAAACCGGCCTCCTGTCCAAAGTTAGGTGCGCGACGGGTGCGGCGAGGTCCTGGGTGCGCGGGACGGGAGATTCTCGCCCCCACTCTTACCCTCCCACTCCCGCACTCCCCGCCCCCACCCTTGGAAACGGGGCGGGGGTCCAGATTTTGGCCTTGCTCAAACTTTACAAGGTGAGCTCTGGGTGAACAGTCTCATCTCTCTGGCCGTTCGGTCTTAACGAACAGCGAGTTGGCGACGCCTAGATAGCCCTGGCGACCCGCGCGGGCTGCCCGCGAGAGGCCGCCGACGGCCGGGTCCTTAATCATAAAAAGTCATTCCCGGTAACAAATAGTTTCGTTGGCCGGTGCCAGCGATACAGCTGTTTCTGTTTAAGCTTAAATACTTTCCAACAGTTTGGGCAGTAAAAATAAAGTCGGCCTCAGCCGCCTGTAAGTGTCTGGTTTCCCCGCCCAGAGAAAGCCCACCCTCCGCCCTGGGCCCGGGTCGCTGTGCACGCCCCGCCCGCAGCCTCTTGGAATTCGCTGCCCGCTGTGGGCTACGGCTGCCCGGCTGTGCCAGCCACGCACCGGTCTCTTGAATTCCCCGGGCAGCCTCAGGGCCACCTTGGAGCCGGAAGGAGGGAGCCTGTCCCGAACTAGCTGGAGGAACGGAGGGGCTTCGCCACCGCCCCCCTCACCCCCGTCCTTCCCCCACCCCTCGCGAGTCGGCCTGCGCCCGCAAAGAGTGGTGGTTTCCCTTCTGATAGGGTTTCTGGAGCGCTGTTCCCGCGAGCTGTGTTTGCGTTGGGTGCCTTTACAAAACCGGAGTTTGCACGAGGCGTGCAGAGGTCGATGGTTTCAGTTTCACGCTCAAAAAGTTAGCTCAGCTCCTCCCTCCCTGTCTTTCTCTTCTTTCCTCCTTTTCCCCTCCATCCCTTCCTCCCTTCCTTCCTTCTTTCCTTTCTTTCTTCCTTCGTACCTCTCTCACTCCCTTTTCTTTCTTCTTTGCTTAAGTGCCTCCGAAGCTTCAAGTGGGAAATGAAACCCCTGGAGCTGTTGTGCACGGCCCCTCCTCCAGAGGATATTTAGTAATTTTTTTTTTTTTTTTGCTTTCCCGCATTTTTCTGCCTGTCTTTATGCCTGGTTGTGAAAACACTTGTTCCTGAACAAAATTAGCGCTTTGGAGGTGTCTGAGTTTGCAAACGTCGGGGGTTCCTACAGCGCCCACAGCAAATGTGGAACTCGATCCTGAAGAAAAGGAGAGGCATAGAATAATCTGAGAACAATCAGACCAAGCCCCGTTCTTGTCCGCTGCAGAGAAACTCAGTCCCGCGGTGTGGGGAGATAAACCCCAGGTTTGGTGATGGGGGGTATCTCACTCCTGACTAGTGCACCGCTGCCATCTGTTTGCAAGACAGCAGGATTGGAGAGAGTGTGAACACTGGCCACTGAGTGACCTCGACGCCCCGACAGTTTGGAGACTAAGTGAGAAGTCTGAGAAATGGGCTTGTAGTCTTGGTGCAACCCAGAGCTGGGGCCTCCTTGGTTGGCGAGGGAGGTTGCCTGTACCTGCCGTGGAGGTTGCTAGCATTGGGGGTGGGTAGAGGCATCCTTCCCGCTGAGTCCCTACCCCTTCTTTCAAAGTAATCAGCCGGTGACACTTAGAAACCAAGGTAAGAAGGAACCCGGCTCCCCACCTTTCTTGTTGGACCTGCCTTCCTCATCACTCAATTCTCACCACCTCCCTTCTTTCCTCCACACAACCTCTTTTATCTTTCAAAGTCAGTTCCCGCGTGCACCCCTGGGTGTAAACAAAACAAAGTTTCAAAGAGCAAGAACCTTCTGCTCTTAATTTCATTGCCCCATGGTCCTGGCTGCGGCTGTCAAGTTTGAGTGCGCTGCCACTTCAGTAAATAAGGTAACTGCTTCCTATTACTTTAGCCCCATATGGCTGCAATTTGAGTGTCTTTGGAGACAGTGCGTGTGTCGGAGCGGAGGGCGAGGGGGAGTGAAAGTGGAAATCAAATGCTCTCAGATCGCATTTTTATGAAGGAAATTGTCGGCGATTCTTTTAGCAGTCTTCCCACCACCCCCTAGTTCCGGGGTGAGCTGCCCTGTTCCTTTGTTTGTGGAAATACAGACGCCCGCCCACATCGGGCCACCTGCTTCTCGACCCCCTAGGTCTACTGCCCGATTCTGCACTCGTTTCGGTGAACTGGGCACATGCCTACCATTTCGCTTCCCGACAAAGTGTCCCCAGAACCTGCTGCCGGTTCTGGAAGCCAGCCCCAGCCCTCGGTCCAGTCTCCGGAAGGTGTCGGGATCCCGTGGCCCACGCGCCCGCCTCCTTCACCTGAGGGCCGCCCCCAGTCCAGGGCCCTTTTAGGCCGCCCAGTGTCCGCTGCCCGCGGACTCAGCCCCGGGGAGGAGTCCTCGAGGCTGGCGCGGCCCGAGGGGAGGAAAGGGGAAGTGCGACCGGGGTGACGGGCTCGGCTCCTGGGTCGCCAGCCAAACCAACAAGCCCCAGCGCGTCCTCTAGCTGGAGGATGCGGCCGGGCCTCGGCTAGTTCACTGGGAGCGTTTCAGCTCTGCGGCTTGGCGGGTGTCGGACCTGCCCGGTCTTGGCCGCGGACGCGGGCGGATTTAGAAATCAACCATTTGCCTCCGGCGCGACGGCAGGGCAGCCTGTGAAGCGAGCACGGGTGGCTCCGAGCGTGGCCGCGTGTGCGGCGATTGCGGCCCGTGGCTTGCCACCAGCAGCCCCGAGCCCGTCAGGCGTCCTCCGACTCTGCCGCCCCCACGCTTGGGCCGGGGCCGGATGCCTGTGGGAGGCTGGTCGCCCGCTATAGGAGGAAAGGCAGAGGTGATCCAACACCTTGCAAAGAAGTCCCAAAGACTCGACCCGGGACAGGCTGGATGGTGACAGAAGGGAGGCTGCCAAGGTTTCTGGCCTGGAACCTAGCTAGAGGTTTCCAGCCTCTAGTCCTTCCCAGAATCAAGAAGTTCCCACCTCTCCTGTCCCATTTTCTTCTTGCGAGTACTTTCAATGGGTGTCAGAGAAACACTAGAATAATTTGCAAAGGATACTAAAGGGCTGACCATGCTGCACATTTCTCACAAGCCTGCACATACTCTAGAAGCAACATAACCTTTGACTTCGCCCCCCTGAAATCAGAGGATGAATGGCAGCCCCATAGGGCAAGCAGCATCTATTGAGCTGCATTATGCCACTTCAGTCACAACAACCAGGTAAGAGTAATGCCATAATCCCCATTTTACAGATGCGGAAACTTGAGGCACAGTGAAGCCAAATAACTTGCCCAGGGGCACACAGCAGGGGTTCTGTGTGAGGAGTCCCAAGCCCAGTGCTCTCTGATACTGTAGGACAGGAGTTTGGGACCCTCTAGATGTTTCACTTCTTCCTGGCTTATGGAAATTATTCAAGGTAAGAAGGGGCCAATGGAACTGGCCGTAGAAGACAGTGGTCTCATTGTCAGAGTGAGCAACCTGACCATGCTAAGCAGAAATATTGATCTGGACCATCAGAAGAAAAGACGAGACTGGAACGATGGAGTGAGGGATGAGTTCTAGGAGCCCAATCAACCCACTTGGAGGCTGGATGATGGTGGAAGTCTTTACTTTTCCTTCATCACAGAAAACAGTGGCTAAAATTGTGGGCTCCAGGGTCAGTGGTTCAAATTCATTTAATAGCTGTGTGCCCTTGTGCCAGTTATTTAGCCACTCTGTGCTTCTGTCCCCATAATTGTTATTTTTTTTAAAGAAATACTAAAATTTTTGTAAGCACTGTCACACTGTCAGGCATAAGTAAATGCTCAACAAATGTTCATTATTACTGTAACACTTGTCCTTCTTAATGTTCTGGGGCCAGGTCAGGCTAATGAGACTTAGTGTGTCTGGAGTGGGTGATTTTCCCTCAAGGAATGCAGTATCAGCCAGAGCAGTCCCTGCCTCCCATGAGGGGTTCCCACAAAGAGGGAGCTGGGTGCTCACTGACCCTCCCAGGGAAATTGTTCCTTAGACACCTTAGACGAAGTCTAAATTCGCCTCTTAGGATGCTTGCCCGGGAAGGCGTCGCATCAGGTGGGCTCGCTACCAAAACCGCGACTCGGGAGCGCGGAGGCCCAGCTCCTTGCGGGTGCGGTGTAGCGGGAGCACGCGCACAGCGCTGAAGCTGGCGCACAGCGCTGAAGCTGGCGCGCATGCGCTCACGCGCGCCGCGGGGTGAATCCCCCAAATCTTCTCCAGGAAGGCAGCCTCGTGTTGCGTGCGAAATCCCGCTCCAGGAGCCCGGAGGCACCCTGGGGCTGACGGGGTGCAAGGGGAGATAGGTCCGAGTTGGGTGGGAGACCTGAGCTACTTCATCTCCGTGCTTGTCCCGCAGGATGGAAGGGGACCGAAAACAGATGGGTCTGGGTGTTCGTTTTCCGTCGGCCCTGAAGAAGGGGCTCAGACTCGACGGGCCTAAGCCGGGGCGGGAGTGGGAGAGGCGAAGAGGGCATGGGGGTGTGGCAGAGCCGCAAGAGACAAATCGGTAGCCTAAGGGTCAAAGCCTTTGCGCCCCATCCTAGAGGAAGGTGTTATCCGAAGCCTCCTCGCCCCGAGATTCCTGGGACTCGAGAACTCCCCTGCGGCGTCATCCTTGGCCTGAGGGCTCACTGACTCACTGACCAGCCTGTGATTCAAGATGCTCCCGGAGGGGAGTTTGACTCCAGATTCTGTCTGCACGGGGAAAGCTTTGGCCTTGCAGTGACTAGGCAGGGTCCGTGTGTCTGTGCTGCCTACCCGCTGGTGACCCCATCCATCAGGAAGGCAGGGAACATAAACTTCCCAAGGGAATACACCGGGTGAAGATTGGTAGCCCCAGAGCCTGCGCTCAGCGAGGTCTGGGCTCCCTAGAATCCGACCTCTGCCAGGGTAGGCACTAAGGTCGCCGCACTGCCCTCTCCAACCCCACAGGCTCTCTCCCGCCCCCAGGGAATCTGCAGGGCTGCCTCGGACTCCGTCGGGTGCTTCACGTTCATTCTCACTTCCTACCCCGCCCCCAAGCGGAAGGAATTGAAGTGACTTTTTGATGGGGCTCTCGGGACCTCTAGTTAGTTCCAAACTCGAGATCCCTCGGCCAGTACCACTTCCTCGCGAGGCTGTTCACGCTGAGAAGAGCCAACGTCCAGTCTCCCGTTTCAGAGATCAGAAACACCAAGAGCCGGCCAGGTCCTTCAAGAAGGCACATGTTGCGGGGGCGGGGGGATAAGTCTGGGTGCTCCGGCAGAACCCCCGCGGGCCGCGCTCCGCCGACGCGTTCGCCCTCGCGGGGGCATACGGGAAACCCTAGGGGCAGACGTTTGAAATTCGACGGAGAAAAGGCGACGGTTCTTGGGAGGGTCCGGACTTCTTGCCTCTGATGGACGTGGATGGAACCTCGGCGTCCTTTCGGCCCTGATCAGTGCCTTTCCTTGTAGCCCCGCGCCGGGGCTCCCGAGGTGCACCCCCAGCCTTAGCCCCAGGAGGGGGCGCTGTCGGGGACCAGACCAGGTCGGACGGGCGTCGAGGCTGAGCGTCCAGAGCGCGCAGGCTCCGCGCACGCCCAGAAGCCGAGTTGCCGGTTCCCGGGCTGCCGGAAAGCGCGCGGCCAGCGGCGGCTCAGTCCCCGCGCAAGCGCCTCACTGCCCCGGCGAGACCCGGGTCTCTCCGGCCACTCTTGGCTGCGGGATGGCTCACCCGCGAGGGGGAGGGCGTCGACGGTCACTTGGGCTGGGACACCCTCGCCAGAAAGTCGGGACGCCTTCTCTCGCTCCAGATGAAAGCCTCAGATCGGCTTCCCCGCCCTTCTCTAAGAAATCAAATTCAGGGAACGTGGTACCGTATTTACCCGCACCACTTCCTCCCTTGACATTTTGCACTCTCGAAGTTGGGGCAGAAGTAATTATGCAAACATCTGGGGCAGTCCTGCGCCGCTACCCGGCACCGTTCTTATTCAACTTGAAAGCCGCACTCTCTCATTTGCATAATAATAGCTTATCTAGAATAACACAGTAATCAGAGGCAAAATTAATTTCTTTTTTTTTTTTTTGCAAAATTAATTTCTTCAGTTAGTCCTTGAGATCCTGAAAACAGAGGCTTAAGGCAAGAAAAACTGATTTTGCTGAGAGTATGGGGTTCTTGACCAGGACCAGGGAGCGGTGAAATTTAAAGTAGTGGAAATGTCAGGTTCACAGCTGAGTTTGTTATTTATCTAGTTGAAGTTTAGCTACTTTCTGGCCAAATGGATGAAGGACTGAGCCACCGTGGGAATCCTGGAAAACACTATTTATTACCCCAGCCATCGTGGGAGGTTCAGTGGCCCAAGAAACAGGGACAACATGTACTGTTGCTGGGGCTATAAGGTCGACATTGAAAATAGCGCTGGGCAGAGACAAGGTAGACCAGCGTCTCGACAAGGATTAAGGCGGTATCCGGCAGATCAGAGCTCTGGGCCTCTGGCCTGGCCCCTCTAGGGCTCAGTTCCCCACCCTTTGGACAGATCAAGAGGAAGAACTTCCTTGCTCTGGGACGGTCGCTGCAACGACTGGCGCAGCAAAAGTCCTTGGATTCAAAGCAAAAAAAAAAAAAGGTATGTGGGTGGTGATGAGGACATTATGTGGAGGAAACATCTTTTATACATTAAAACATCTTTTTGATCTTTTTTAATATGAAGAGGAGTGGGAGGGAGAAATCCACAAATAAATATGGTAAATGGATTTGGACCAGAATTGTAATCCTGGGGCCACTTTCAGGGTTATTCTGGGCTCCAGAGGATTTTTTCAGCAGGACTTGTTCCCTCCAAGGTCAGTCTTGTCTTCTCCAGCAAACCACGCAGAGAGAGCACAGTGCATAAGGGTGGGAGATCCATCCCCCCACCCCACCCTACGCGCCTCCTCCCTGCATCGCGCTGTGGACAGGAATTCCCTATCTCTTCCAAGAGGACAGAAGTTTTATGTTTAATTAAGGAGGTGGCAGAAAAAGCCACCATTGCGGTCACTCCTTTTGAAGTAGTTCTTATATTTCTTTTAAAATCAGAGTTGCAGAGGGAAAGCAGGATTAGGAATTGCTGAGAGTGAAGCGACCTGCAGAGTGAAGTGGGGAAGCGAGAGGGGAAATGGGCGGAGGGTTAGCCCACGGTCTAGGGACTGGCTGTTTCCGCGGAAAGGAAGGAGGGCGCCAACAGACCTCCCGGCGCGGGAGAGGGTGTCGCTGAGAGTCGCGACTACTGGGTTGGGACAGTAAGCTATCCCTCCCTCCATCCTTCTCTTTCCTCTGCTTTTATTCTCACTGCCTTTTGGACGCAGCCTCCATCCTGCCTTTTTTACACCTCCTTGGGTGGCGCAGCTCGACCCCAGGGGTATTATCTTTTTTTATTCCCCCTGGCGGTCGGTGTGATAGCAGAGCTTCTTCCCTAGGGGGAGGGGTGCCCTGGGGAAAAGGCACCCCTGGGAATACGGGAGCAAAGGTTCTAGCCTCCCCCAAGTCTTTTCCTAGCTGGGAAACGCGGGGAGAATTGGGGCTCCTGGCCTTGCAATCCCAGATCCAGGTTTCAGCCTCAATTTCTCCTTTGGGGAGAGTATGGTGGACACCCAATGAAGAGTAGAGAAAGGAGTCCGACTTTCAGGGCGTTGCCGGTTTAACAGCGTCCGAAATCTAAGTCTGAAGGAGGTCCCTAGCCGACCTTGTTCTCCAGCCGCTGCAAGTATTCTAGCAGCCCCGGGCAGTGGGTCCCTAAACAGTCCTCCCCACTACCGCACCGCCACCCCCCACCGCAAGCTTAGGAGAGGGATCGAACTTCCCCAGCCCGCGAGCAGCCTCTCCTCCTGAGGGAGGCGCCATCCAGCCTGCAAAGTCCGGAGTAATAGCTTCGTTGACCCTAGAACCGGAGCCAAGCCAGGCCCAACCTACCGAGAACAAAGAGCGGCCCACGCGGAAAGAGGCACTGGCCACCCCGCTGGAACGGCGCCCGCGACCTGGGGGCGCCGGGCGCCAGGCTTCGGGATCCGAGTCACTGTCGCAAGCCTCAGTGCGGGGCAGCGGGGTGGTGAGCTTTCCTCCCGGGAGGCGGAAACGTCTAAGAGCAAAGTCCCCAGTGTGATTAGGCGAAAAGTTCGCGCCCCACTTTGCACTAGTCGGGTCAGCGCGGACTGGTCCAGTGGAAATGGAGAGGGTGAGGGCAGTGGATGCGGGGATCACAGCAAGCCAGCTGGGCTTTAGAGGCGCTTGGACCACTCAGAAGCGAGTGGGGCAGTGGCCTGTCTCGGCTGACTAGTGAGCCGATATCCACCGTGGGGATCCGATCCTGAGAGCGAGGGTGTGCCAGAGGCAAGTGTGAGGGAAGAGAAGGAAAGATGGGCAGAAGTGGAGGAGAGGTGGTTTGGGGGAGATGACTTGGAGCCTCAGACAGAGCCTCCCCCACCCCACCCCAGGGTGCTCCAAACCTGTAGGCTAATCCCCGTGCTTCCTCCACCTGAGGCTCTCAACTGCTGTCCAGCCCAAGTTTCCAGCTCAGGGGAATCCAAGAAAGTGCCTTCAGCCTTTGCCCCACAAGATGAGCAGACTTCCCTCCTCTCTGGAAAATCAGTATTCCCAACTGCCAAATTGGCAGGGTCTTTCCCATTTTGTTGCTATGACAGGTACCTCTAGTGGACCCACATGGAGAGTGATTTGGACCCCAGGAAGGCAGGACCACACACACACACACACACGTGCTGTTTTTCTAAGATGAGGAAAGAGGTCCCAGGTTCAATTTCCTACAGTAAGGTAGTGCTTCTTCCAGCCTCTGTGGGTTCAGGCACTTCTCTTCCCCAGAGGGAAAGATCCTGGTGCAGCCTACACCGGAGAGCTCCTAGGGATGTTCAGAGAAGCCAGCCAAGGGCTAGATCTCTGGATTCTGGGTTGCAGCAGAGGATGCAGCCAGGCTAGAACTGGAGAGTACTGACTGGAGAAATTTATACAAGGATAAGGTGGAAGCTGGAGCTGACACCCACAAATTAGCTGCCCAAGGGAGCCCACTGGAGAGTGCTTGAGAGTTTCTACATGGAGTTTCCCATGTTCCTACATGGGCTCAAATGTACATGAAGCTTTATGGTCATTTGTCTAGCAGAGCCTTGTGCCTAGCCTGGCACAAGAGGGTGTGCAGGAGTGGTGGGAGTGGATAGATGTAGCTTCCATCTGCTGAGCAATGGCTGCTCGCTCCATGCCAAGCTCTGGCTGGAAGCTTCTGAACTATTCTTCATCACAGTCCTTAGAGGGAGAATTCAGTAATCACATTTAAATATGGGGAAACAAGCTCATAGGGGCTAAGTAACTTACTGGTGACCAAGTTAAGCTGAGGACAGGGCTGACTTAGGTCTGTCACCCAGGAGTTCCAGTACCTAAGAGGAGGTGTCATGGTACTGGAACCAGGCACAGCAGGAAGCTAGACACGCCCCACTGCTGCTCCAAGTCAAGGTGTTTGGCATGACAGAGTCATCTTTGGTGCAGCTGGGGTCACTGACCCTGGGACTTCCCAGACTCTTGCCAGACCAGCAGCCCAACAGCCTGAGGTCAGGGTCCAACAGAGTTTTCCTGCCTCTGGCCCCCCTCCTCCCCAGCCATCCAGGAAGAGCCACTAGCTGCCATCAAAGGCAGTCAGTTCCAAGGCGCAGGTAAAACCAGTTGGGCAGCCATCATGGAACTTCATGCACCAGCTCCAGGGTTCCAGGACCACCAAGCCATTCAAACATGGAAGCTTGTGCCGAGACATGCCTGGATAATCCAAACAACAGTGGATGGGGAATGAAAAAAAACAAATTGGATTCAAACCTGTGCTTGCTCCACCCCTGACTGGCTGAGATGCCTTGGATAAGTCATTTTTCCCCCTTCTTGACCTCAGTTTGTCCTGTAAAAGGGTCATTTGGAGCATGTAGCCTTAGAATAGCCTGCTTAGTTTCCCCATTCTGTACATTTGGGGTTGTGTGGTCAGGTTTATTGGGCTTCCAAAACTTTTAGAAAATACTTGTTCACTGTTGACGGCTGGCCACTGATGCCTCAGCCAGCACACAACCCTGGAGCTTGTGACTGTTGGGAAATCACAGGGACTCCCGGGGAGAGCCAGGAATTCCTGCCCCATCTGTGCCAGGTTCTGGTCTCAGTTTCTCAAATGATGCCAGGCGCAGAACTACTAAACAGCTGGGGGGGGGGGTCCGAGAAGGCAAGAGGAACAGTCTTGGAGGAAGCACTGGGTGACGAGACTACCTCTCCAGTCCCAACCTGTCGGGGACAAGGAGGGAGCATTATCTTCCCTCCAGTTCCAGTACAGCACCAGGCTGCTGGAGGCATAGCCGCAGCTGGGACTAATTCCAGGTACATTCTATAGGTGGCATCATGCTACTGGAAATGGCCTCCTTAGAGGGAAGAGGCTCTCTCTGTGGCATCTCCAGGCACTGGGGAAGCCAAGGCAAGGTGGACACAACCCCAGTGCAAACTGCATGGAGAGAGGCAGCTGAGGCACCGGTGCACTGGGTGATGGGGAATGGGTCTCTCAGATTCTGGGGGCCACTGGCCCAGATGCATAGGTTTCTTCAGGACCATCAGCCTTCTGGCAAGACTCTTTGGGAGTCTCTCATGTCCACCGGCAGTGGGAAGAAAAGGCCTCAGCCCGGTACACAGTGGGGAGCCATGGGTAAGCTATGTGGGGTCTCCAACAGCATTCACTGGCAAAGCTATGTCCCACCCACTACGCTGGCAGGAGAACTATGTCATCACACCACTGAGGCTCCTTCCAGGCTGGCAGGCATCCTGGCCAGGGGCCATTCCTGGTCCAGACCCTCGCCTGAAGGAGGCCAAAACTCTTCTCTGGGTGGGCTAGGAAACTGGTCATAAGTGGGAAGGGAGAAGGCAAGCAGTGCAACAAGCTGGAAACAGAACTTTGGGGTCAAAGGGTTACGCAGGAGCCCTGAGAAGTCTGAGGCTGACCGATTGTTCTGAGGCTACCCTCTGGCCAACCTCCTCTCAAAGAGACCTCCTGCGGGCCCTCTTCCTCGCAGCTGTCCGAATTCGCCTCCTTGGGCCCAATCGCGTTGCTGGGCCGCGGACCTGCCAGGCCTGTCACCTCGGGTAGCATGTAACCTGCCGTCCGGGAGCTGGGCAGGTACAGAGAAGACGGAGAGAGGTGTGAGGGCAACGCCTCTCACCGCTGCCTCCCGCCGCTCCGCTGGCTCCAGGCTGCCTGGGCCGCCCGGGCACGGAGCCCGTGAGTCCTCTGCGCTCGGGCCACACGCAGCTCCCGCTTCTCGAGCCCCGGCCTGGCACTTGCGCCAGGCCTGGCGCCGAGGAGGTCGGAGAAAAAGGGGCGCTGGATCTCAGCTGACAGCACCATGGGCCAGGCCTCGGGAGAAAGCTGAGGGGAACTCGAACCTTCAAATCACAGTCCAGCTTTCTTTCCTCCCCACCCTACCAGCTCCCAAGCGTGGGGCTAGGTTTCTCGTGATCCTGGGCCTTTGCTCAGACTTAATACAGACGCGCTCACATTATTTTTTTAAACAAAAGCAATTAGATGTCAATTCTGGTTTATTTGCATCTGCACCTTGGAAACAGTGGGAGGTGGGAGTGGGAGAGAAAGGAAAGAGGGAGACTGGAGGCGGCGGGTTACACCTTCCGAACGCCACAGCTGGCTCGCGCTGCCATTGCGCCAGCCACATCTGGCCCAGCAGCGCAGCCGCCGCAGCCCCCTCCCCGCCGGCTCCCGGGACCCGCGCGCCGCAGCCCGCTCGGCGACGCGCTCATCGATCGCCGAGGCCGCGGCCGGGCGAGCGGAGAACAAGGTATAGCCTGTATTTAGGTTCCTGCCCTTATATGGCGATGTGCGCGAGCGCCCGCCGAGCGGCCGCACCATATAAGGGCACGCGGCGGGCGCCGGGCTGAGCTGGTGCTAGCTCATTGGCCCGCGCGTCTCTCGGCAACCGGCTCTCACGAGTGGAAACGAGCCAGCCGCCCCCGCCCGCTCCCACCACCTCCCTTTCTTTCTCCCGCGGCTTCCCCGCCTCTCGTCTTCGCACCCTTCTCCTTGCTTACCCCCATTTTTGCCTGACCCTCCCCAAGTTTTCTCCTCGCGGCTGTTCCCCCTCCCCCTCGCCCTCGTTGTCATTCTCTTCCTCCCGCTCAGCCTGTTCTCGCCCCCTCCGCTCACGCTTCCACCTCTACCCCACGCACTCCCTCCCCAAACCCTTGCGAGCGGCGACGGAGGAGCGGGAAGGCCCGGATGCGGGAGGGGAGCTGGAGGGTGTGTGTGTGTGCGCGCGCGTTGCTGCTGCGGTTGCCGCTGCAGCATCAGGTCCACGGTGTGCACGCACGGGGCTCCGGGAACAGTCCAAGTCTCCCCTCCGCCAGCAACAGACTCACGCTCACCTCTCCCGCCCCAAAGGTAATCAGAGCAATTAGCTGCCGAAGAAAGGTGGTTACGGAACTAGGAATGTGCTAAACCACAAACCGCCCTAGGTACCACCAAATTACTATCTCCGAGGGTGTCCCTTCGGGATGAATTTCTGAATGCAATCACAATAATGATAAATCGATGTCTCATTTAAAGGTTGTTTTAAAAAACTGCCAGTTGTGGAGGTAAAGCTGCGTGAAGGAGAAAAATGCACTGCTAGAGCCACGCTCCGGTTTTCAGGCAGAACGCAGTGCACTGGAGGTTGCGAGATGCAGGTCAGGTGCTCAGCGCTGAGCCCACCCGCTGGACGGGAGCCAGAGGAGGAAGAAGATGTCCCTATTCCCGTGGACCTGAGGCTCGGGCTTGCCTCAAACTCGGGCAGTAAACGCACAGCGGTTCCCGGGGCTCCCCTCGGCCCCTCCCTCGCGCTCAGAGGCGCGCGCACGCGCACGCACGCACAGGTGTCCAGCTGACCCCTCCCGAGTGGTAACCAGTTTCGAAGCGCGTGTTCTCCTAGCGACGCCGCGGCGACCAGAGCTACCCTCTCGGGGACTCGCGCTTGTCCCCAGGAGAACCAAAGGGGACAGCTAAGACAATGAGCACCTTAGCGCCCTGGGACTTTGCCTGTGACAGAGCTTGCCTCTAGGGCCGCCGCCTAGCCCAGACGTTGAGCGATGCCCTCTACTGGGAAGCCTGTGCCTGGAGCCCTGCGCAGGTGGGGGTCGCACAGGAGACCTGGCTCGGGTGGGGGATGGGACACGGAGAACGATGACCTGCGTGACCTCTGCTCGGTCTTGGGCATCCTTCCTCGCCTTCGCCCTCTTTCTCTTCCAAAACTCAAATCCCCCAACCTGGACCCTCCCCGGGGAAGGTGGCAGAAGCGGGCTCTGCAGGGCACGCGGGTGCGAGACTGAGGAGGGCGCTGCCTGCTGGATGGAGTTAGTTTTGGCCGCCTCCTCCTCCTCGCTGTTTCTGCGGAAGGAAGCGCTGCGGCCGCAGCAGCCCTTGGTGCCAGCACATATCCCTCCCCGACCTTGGCTGAGATTTTCTGCCGCGGTGTCTTGCCTAGCCGAAAGCAGTTTCCCTCCCGCGCAGTGACTGGGGATGCCCTCGGGGCAGAGGATTTGTCTGGGTCTGCGCCCAACGCTGGACCTCTGCCATGGAGACCTCTCTGAGCCCTGGAAAAATCCGTGGATGCCCGGGTGCAGCCTCCTGATACTCCCAAGTAGCCCATCCCTGCCCCGCACCTGCCCACGCCCATTTAGCCAGGTCATTCATATTAAATCTCAAACCCTAAGTTTCTGCGTGCTTAGGTAGGTGGATGGATACCTTCGCCCAGAGAGGGGAGGGAGGAGGGCCCCAGATGTTTTCCCGTCATGGGGAGGTGTCTCCTTACGTGTGCTTCTCTTTTCTTAAACTTCAAGAGCGGAAGCCATTCTCTAATCTGGAAACCCCGTTCCTTGACCTGTTGGCTCTTGGTCCCTGCCCTCTTTATGTATTGAATTTGAAGTTTCCATCCAGTAGTGGTGAAATCGCTGGAGCTGAGTACGCGGTTGGCGGGAAGGGTGAGAGAAACTTGCAGAGAGGGGAAAATAAAGTCCCAATTTACATGAACACCTCTTCCTGGCAAGCTGGACTCACCACGGCCCGGATTTCTCCCGATTGGAATAAGAGGGGGCTACAGAACCGCTCGACTGCGTCAAGTGGTTCGGGCTCCAGAACCTAACCCCACCCACGGGTCCTCTGTTCGCACTTTTCGTTTTTCCCCAGCACTACCAGCCCTGGGGGTCCGGGGGACCATTTCCCTCCCTCCCTGGTGCGCCCCCAGGCCCTACCCTAAGCTTGCACCCCCGGCCGATTCTCCAGATCGCTTTGGACACCTCTCTCTAGAGCCCCGGGCTCCTCTTGGCGCCCAGAGAAGCGTGCTTGGGCCCGGGTGCCAGGCAGGGTGGCCGCGGGCGCCTCCTCGGCGCCCGCGGCGGCCCTTGGCTGGGCGGAGGCAGGGGTCGGGGGTCTGCTCCCTGCAGAGAAGAGGGTGGGCTCGCGGCACCTGCTGAGCTGCCGCCGCCGCTTCGGCTCATGGCGCCGAAGGATCCACCCGGATCTTCTCCGCGGAGTTCCGGGCTTGGGTCGTTTTGTAGTCAGCACGCACACAGCTTTTTTAATTTATTTTTTATTTTTCGCCGAGGGTGGCGGGGGGTTGAGGGGGCGTCAGGGTTCACCAGCCCAGCCTCAACGCGGGGGAGGGGTGGCGGTGCGGACAGTGGGCTGCAAGCGGTCACCGAGGTCAACAGCCCATTAGCATTGCCCCACCCGGGCGCCGCGACCTCGCGAGGGCACGGGGCATGCGGAATTGGGGGGTGGTGGTGGTCAGACAGACAGCTCCCTCCTAGCACTGGCCCCTTGCCACCCTCCACCCTCCGCCCCCTCCTCTGGCAGGTAACCGCCCCTCCCCCTCCCCCTCGCCCCCCGCTGCGGCCCCAGATTCCCCGGTGCCCACGAGGGTCCGGGCGCCCGGGCGGAGAGTCCCGGGACGCGGAAGGGAGCGGGGCTACGGGCCGACCGCGGAGCCCGCCCCCCACCCGTGGTAGCGTGGCGACTGGCGCCGCTTTGGCAGCCATTTTCTGCAGCTGCCGCTGCCGGGGCTCTGCGGAGTAAGGCGGAGGATGCAGCCGCCAGACAGAAGCGGCGGGGCCAGAGGGGCGCGGGGTCACCGGCGGGGGGTCGTATTCGGTGGCCGGGGCGGGGGCGGGGGGCTCGCAGTGTCGCCGCCGCCTCCTGCCCCTCCCCCTGCTGCATTGCAGGCAGAGCGGGGCCGATCCGCGTGGCGAGCGCCTGCGATCCCACCCTTTCCCCGCCATCTTGTACCCGGGCTGGCGCCTTCCCAAAGAGGAGCCGCGGCAGACAAAGCCCGCCCTGGGCCCGCGGGGGCCCCTGCAGCCCACCCGGGCTGGGGGCTCCAGGGCCCGCGCCCTCGCCCCGCCCTTCCCGGGGAGCCGGCACAGCCCCTCCCAGGGCGGGGGGGGGGGGTGCTCCGCGTGCGACGGCCACTCGCCTAGCCCTAGAGGGTCAGCAAGGACCTCCTTTCCACCTCGGTTGCCGGGCTGGACCCGCGCCTTCGCCGCAGCCCACCCTGGTTGCGGGAAGGGGGGTGGGGTCCCCCGCAGGCTGGGCGGGTGGCAAGAGCTGGGTGCTCTTCTAGCCTCGAGTTCCTTCTCTTTTCTACTTGGGTTGGTTGGGGGGGGGTGTCACTAATCCTCGATCCCCCACCGACCTCGTGTAGTGCCCACTCACGCCCCGTTTTCCCGCTAGGAACCTCAAAGAAGACCGCAGCGTGGGCGGCTCTCTAGACCCCGAGAGCTGCCCAGCAGCTGCTGCAAACGCGAGATTCGGCGCTCCATTCCGCAGTGCTGTCGCCCCAAACCCTCAGCTTGCTGCTCAGCCCCTTCCTTCACCGCCCCTGCACAGGACTTCCTGACCTGGGGGTTTATGATGTTTGGGAGGGGGCGGGGGGGGGGGGGAAGGTGAGGCTCCCCTTCCTCACCCCTGAGACCGGGGGAGAATCTGGCTCCTGGCAGCCTGCTCCAAGTGCCACACTGTTCCTAGGTAGGGAATTTTCTGCCTGAAGACTCCATTTTCTCGTCCCCAAGTCCCCAGCCCCTGGGGATGAGGTGGGGGCACCCGAGGTCTCCAACTGCTGGTTGATTCCTCCCGTCTGCACGTCCTAGGTTGGAAGGGAGCGGATGGCCATCAGCTTCTGCACCCTGCTTTCCTGTCCACGCGACTCCCTAGGGGTTCTGAGTCCCCATCTCCTGGTGCACCCAGACCCCCAGGAGTGTCTGACTGGAAAGGATGGTGATGGATGAGGAAACAGGCTGGGAGAGGTTAGTGGCAGAGCTGGACTCTTCTTCACACACCCCACCATCCCCTTGTTTCTTTAAAATACC